CAATCACCTGATCCTGTTGATGTTGATAAAATTGAACTGACATTCGGGACGGAACTTGCATCGGAAAGAATGTTAAAGGTTTTGAAAACATACGGAGTGTTTTCATTGCGAATCATGAAGCCAAATGTTGAGATGTACCTCAGTAGAACTGTAAGCGCCAAGTTTTCAGGACTTAGTTATGTTGAGAAGTTCAAAACAAATGCCAAGACAGAAATACTTGTTGGGAAATTGTATAAGAAGTATTTATTGACTACAGGAATGATTTTTAATAATATACCATTAGGAACGTTTATCTCATCTTTCACTGGAGTCTACTTGAGGTATCTGGATATGTTTCAGGCCAAGAATGGAAACAATAAGGTAAGACAATGAAACTTCATTGTGTAAAGTAACGCCTGCATTATGAAAAATGACCAATTTAGACAAAGTGCTAGAAAAATAAAACAAAAGAGACTTGTTTACACGGTTTGATTTAAACTAGATGAATGAACCGTCTAAACATATTGACTAGGGGTCTTTTAAATAAAAGCCCTTCAGGGTTTGTTGAAGACTCCTATATAGCCCTAATCATTTCTTCTAATATGTAAATAGTTGTTTTTGTTGGCAAATTATGGGCAAATAATAATAAAAAAACAACAAAACAAAACAAGAAAACTATCTTGGTATGATAATGCAGCAAAAACAGATGATACGCCAAAATTAGTTCGTGTTGGAGGATGATCCGTCGATGTGTACTGTAAAGCATTAGACGAACTATCGGGACATTGTCAGTTTGTATTGCGCTTTTCTCGCTAATTCGCCTGGATAGCTCGTCTTGTGTTTATGCTAAGATGGAAGATCCGTTAGATCGCTGCGTCCTAGTCGTACGGACAACGCGACCTAACGGATTATCCATCTTCAGTAGAAATGCTGAAATGAAGCCAATCTCTCTTTTCAATATCAACTGAAACACTTTCCTTTTAGATTGGCCTTTCATTGTCTGCGCACCAAGTGGACTTAACCAACATTCCATTTATGGCTTACACCTCAGAACCTCTGGCATCAGCATTTAGTACCAATATCCCCAACGGCCTTTACATGGCTGCTTTGACCGGAACACCGAAAAATTGTCAGGAATATAACACCTTCTGCAGGTTGATTCAAATAGTTCTTGGCAAGGATAGAGAATTTATGCTGACTGGTGAGACAAGTTGGCAGTGGACCCACTTTAAGGCTTCTATTCAGAACCCAGCTATGTCACAACAGTTGCCAGTTGAAAAAGTGAATATTGAAGTAAAGGTAAGTATTGGAATATAACGTTTAGGTATAATATGATTTAAATCAAAACATCTCTGTAATTGCATCTGACGGGATTGTGATTTGTGAACCTACTTCTGTATATATCATAGATATCTTATATACACGCGTAAAAACGCTCAGGTTGATGCAATACTGATGAAAACAGGATTGAACAATGTTTTGCTGCCCACATTGTTCATAGCTGTCAACAATATTGAACAATATTGTTACACCCGATTCAGGCTCAACAATATTGTTCAATATTGTTGACAAGTGTGAACAACTTGAGCAGCAACGGGCTCGGCGTTTTTTGCCCCCATTTGAATAGATGGCGGCCATGTTAATGTTTCCCACTCGCTAATAAACGCTTAAAAAAACAACAATAACTTTCATCATTTGAATAGTTTAAAAATGTATTAGGAATAGGTTTACCTTAATATTTAAGTTCCGTGTTTAAGAAATAGAAAACATACGAATCTTCTCATTTCATGGGAATATCCTCAGTCTGCAGTCACGGCTTCAATTTTTGAATTGTAGAATAATTAGATGCACTATCTAGTGTATATAAGATATCTATGGTATATATCCAACAATGTGGATTATAAAAAATATGCAATTGCTTGGACATTGGCTAATTATGTATGATCGGTCAGCTTTTCAATATTTACATTTACTGGTCGTGCTGATAACTTCCCGTATGACAAATCATGCTTAACTTTTCGTAAGCAGTCCCAATGTTCTTGGTCCCTATTGTTTTTGAATTTTTACTGTATGTCTGGTACCACAAACTTGATACCGTAAACTTTTGTTGCCGTCACAGCGGAGGAGACAAGACAATGTTGTGCGTTCTTTTTCTTGCATGCTTTTTGAAAAACACATAATTTAAGTGAAAACCGCGTATTTTAGGCAAATAGTCGATTGCCGACCGTTATCCACACTAATATCCAAACATTGCACCTTGCCAACATTCCCTGCGGAAGGAAGCGGGAGTACTCGGGTAAAAATTGGCAGATAGATGGCCAACTCTTTTTACATGAATGCTTTGAATGAAGGATAGAACCCATGATATTAGAAAGGGTCCAAGAATCGATCCTTGGTGTTTAAAACGAGTGTGAGAAAATACGTCTGAGTTTTGACTATTTACGTAGTTTTTTCCCGTGGTTCCATGTAAAATAGATTCGGTTGTGTTCATTCCTCATTTTAAATTTCTCAAGGGAAGCAACAAAACTGGTTTGTTGTTTGGAGTTCAACCTTACATCGCTTACAAAGTTAATGGAGATGTACTGCCCTCAGATGAGAAGTTAAAAAGGATAGTATTCACTGGAACACTGTTTTACAGCACTTCTGGTCGTCAACTGGAAGGAAAGTTGAAAACTAATGCAGTTTGGAAAAGTGCGTTCGGTTATCCACAGCTTACTGTTAAACGAATGTCAGCTGGGTAAGAAATTTATTGTGCAAACGTTTTAACTAGAGCTGCTCCTGATTAATCTTTTTTTAGCAATTGACTTTTTGACACGATTCGGTTCACCAACAATACCATTCGGCCGAACTATATAACTAAAACTATATAACTAAAATTGATATAATTTTTTGTTATATTATGCAGACTCTCCGTTCGCCTAGTACGGCCTCACTTTCCCAACAAACTTGAAACAAGAGGAGACTTTGAAATTGGTTTACACTGCAAAGACTATGAGGTAAGATGATCTCTTCTGTATGATCCATATTACCATCTCTTCTTCTTTTCCTTCACTTTTATTTTGGATCGATCCTCTCTGTATGTCGTCTCCGCGTAACTTGATCTCTTCCTTCATTCTCCGTAACTCCAATCCCTTCTATAGATTTCATTATTGCATTATCAATCTTATCCTTTGTCCTTCTCTGGATCTTTTTCCTCTAACAATTTGCTTCCATGGACCCTCATCAACTGTCTATTATCTACTCTTACCAAGCTACATAAATTATTCTCGCGTCTTTGTTTGAAAGACCTTATGGGAGTAATATTCTTGTATCTACGGTAGCATCATCATTCTCCTCTCTAATCACCTTTCCTTCTCCTTCATTGAACGTCAACTCCACGCTTTAACTGAAACACCTGGCTGAGGTCTCGTATGTATAAATTTACGTAATTCATATATAGAATGACTGTATAACTGGAACGGCGTACATTGGAATGTCAGATGAAAGAAACGAACAATATTTCCATGGTGTTATGTCGCGTTTTACTATTCAAGATATTCTCCGTGTTCATGGTGTGCAGTCAACACTTCCAGCTCCTATTGCAAGCATTGGTTTTCCAGATGGACTTGAGGTATGCAGAATCACTTCAATTTCTCATGATTGCACATTTATTGTTTGATCTAGGAGGAGTCGTCTTCGCATTTCGTGCGCAAATAGCGTTCTCTTTAATCGTGACCACAACCACAACTCTATCCCTATCTCTAATCTTTATTTGAAGAGGATAACACCTAAAAACATTGTGACCCTCATAAGCGTATAAAGTCGGTTTCCGATGTGGATGGTAAAAAAAATTGTGGCAAAAATTCAGTAAAAATTACTAAATTTCACCTCTGTCTCAATGACGTCATGGATTCGGTTAATTTGCATATCAAACACACTCAAATATCCCCAAAACAAAGACAGATAAAGTGTAGAGAAACTTGCATACCAAGAACAGCTTAACATCCATTAACAATGCGAATGAACTGAATTATTCATAATTAATTTATTTTACGTTGAATAACGTTGATAAAATGATTTCAGATTACGTTTGCTAAACAAGTTCACAACTTGGAAGCGATTGGAGGACCAATCATCAAGCCAGGGTTTACAATGAGAGGAAAAATACAAGTACTAGGATTAGAAAGCGATTGTTCAGTAAATCTTAAACCTAACGAGGTACGGTATTATTTTGATTGTCGTATTATATGAATAGAGATAGATGATTCACCGGGACGAACCTGAGCAGACGAACCTGAGCAAAAAAGATAATTTCAGCGATGGTATATAAACACGGCAAACATATGAATCGTCCGTCAAGACAAAACATCTGCGCAGTTCATCTGTACATACACAGACTAATCTGCGCACGTAGTTCGTGTCTGTCAGTATGCGCAAAAAATATGACCTTAGACGAACGAACAAATAGGAGAAATCAGCACTTTTTTACTTGTTGATTTTCGGATCAATGCTATACTGAAGAAACTACCCATTACCCTGCAAGTACAGTCCATAAAACGCATGAAGAAAACACAAAAAGAAATCATCAGCGTAAAGGAGTTTGTATATCTGATACAAAATCATGCCGATTCACACAAACGTTCAGTTCAATTTTCTCATCAAATATAATTAATTTATTTCATTTAAAATGTTAAAGAATAGCCTACGAATGTTCTCATCAAGACATTGCAATATATCCGATACAACACGGCCGCTCATATTATCGGTCTGACCTCTCTGACGCATTTATTCGTCTTCGCGTTAATACAAAAAGAACTTTCCAGACCAACTAGTTAGAACTTGCTGTAACATTTTGGTTTTATTGCGAAATCTGCTACAGGTACGTTTACCGATGCTGCGATTTGCCGGACCGATATCAAAATGGGCAGTTTGTCTATTGCCTTATAAAATAAAATGACACCAACGCTTCTTCGACTATTATGATAAATACACTTGATATATTTCTAATTTCTATTAATTTTCAGTTTATGGTCGATGCTGATATCAATGGTGATAAAGGCCCTATTAAGCTTGGTGGAGTAACACCGCTGTACAGATCAAGGCGCGACCGAAAGAACGGACCTAAGTTATATTTAGAAACGCGGTTTTCTCCCAAGACTTATGTCAAGGTTAGGAAAACAATTATACTTTGTATTCGTTTAATTTCACGTCAAGCTAGACAAAACATAAAGGAATAATATTTTGAAAATCGCGCTTACTTTCCCCATCTCGTTATTTTTTTTTAAATTGAAGTTCAAAATTGAAGGTGAAAACCTAAAGCGTTTCGGCCAAATTCTTTTATCTTTCAAATTAAAAATCCTGGGTTGGGCGTGTAACACCTCACTATAAATGTTTGAGAAATCAATTTTGTAGGGAAACTTTATGAATTTATCAAATATTCAATAATTTGTCGGACAAAAATACATTCAAATCATGTTGAGTAAGAATCAAAAAGCCTAGAAGTCCAGTTTGAGCAATTTAAAAAACTTAGTTTTCTGACCATCAGAATTCGGTAAAATCTTCCCCCATGGGACATGCCCCATAACCCTAGAGGTCTCGTGCCTTTGACACTCGATACTATTGTCTTCGCATCATCGTCCCTAGAGTCCCTCGCGTAGCAACGTGGCACAAACCTGAGGACGAGAATGGTGTCTTCGACGTTATCCTTGCGGACCCTCATAAAGTTTTTAGTTTTCCCTACATCTTTACGTTCTTTTCTGGCCACACCTTTCTGTCGGGCAAAGCGACTCCACAACCCCCTAATGTTCAGACCCAAGTTATGTCCTTGTTCACCTACAGTAGAAAGAGTAATGTTTGCAATGCCTTTTTTGTATGGTGTATCGTCCCCGACACAGGATAATATACCATCTTATCTGCGACTCCAAAATGACTCTCCTTCATCCTTTTTATTACGTGCCCATACCATCTCATATTCAGCACAACATCTTCTTTCAATCTCTTCACTCTTCATCTTGGCCTTCAGCGAAACCTCCGAGAACCTTCTCAACATTCGCATCCGGGCTCAACACTGTACGTAGACTTTGCCTTTCGACTTTGTAATCTGCCGAAATGAACTGTGTTACTTTTCAAATATTCGTTCTTCCAACACGGACTCCACCACAGAATCGCTGTTTATTGCTTATAACTATTACTTAGTATATTAAATCTATTTTAATTCAGGCCCACATTGATGGCTACACACGAATATTTGGTGTTTTCGACGAAATCCGAATATTGATGACAAGAAGACATTTTGCGATACGTTTGGTCACGAGTATTTTCCAGACATTCAAAGTTCGTATTAACGTGATGGCGAACTATAGTGAGGATCTCAGCAGAACACATTTTAAAGCCAGAGTTGTCTTCATTGGTGGCTTAGCAAGGGTAAGCGGAAAGCTCGAGTCCTAAAAACTAAATAGCTTCATCCTTAAGCATGTTCAGGGCTTACTGGGTAAATTCCAGCATCGGACATTCAGACTAGAAGAAACCATAAGTACACTGGGCTTTGTAATCATTTATTTAAACCGGAGTAGCGAGCGAAACATGATTTATATACCTGGTTGCAGTGAACGAACAAACTTTAAACATTAAATTATGCTTAGAATCATTTGAAATTCAAGCTTTTCTATACTTTTTATGTCTTAATAAAAAACTGCGTGGGCGTGGCATAATACATGCGATTACCACCAACACCAAACTTAACTAGAAACAAGTATACTAATAAGTATATGGACCCAAATGTAAGCTTCTATACTTGCTCCATTTTTTAAACAAAAATTTAGACAATTGTTGACTGAGTGACAGGCATTCAGTGCACTTGACTATTAGTATCATGACTATTGCCATCCAGCATTTACAACCAACCAACTATATTTATACTGAATAGCTCATCACTAGACTCGTCACTCCATCAGTTCTCAACTGCTAAACTATTTGCTGTAGACTCTAAACTGTTTTCTTTTACTATATTTATTGGGTTTTTTATGGTTTCTTTTCATAACAGCTGACGAGAGCCTCATCAAAACATGTGATGCAAATACTGAAAAATGAAAAAGAGAAACTACAGACAGCCCGGAAAGAGATGAGTGCTATCAAAACAGAATGTCAGACAGACAGTAAAACAGAATGTGATGTTTGTTTAAAATCTTCTACGTGTCGAACAAAACTAGATTCCTGCAGAGAGAAACTCACTTTGAAAGAAAGATTAGAGTATTCGCGAAGTTCTGCAACTCATTTCTGTCAGCGTGTTGTAAGAAATAACTGTCAGCTTACTGCTGACGATTGCAAGGCTCTTTGTCAGAATATTACCAAGGCAAATCACTCCTGTAAGACACTTAGTCAATCACAAAAGACACTTCAACAGATGAAGAAAAGTTTACAATGGGTTGGTACTGTCAGGGCTATGTTCTCCAGTGGTTTATGTCAAATTCACAGTATTACATTTGAGACAAAATTAACACCGGACTACATTGGCGACATCTATGTGAATGCAAAACTGGATATCACAATATTTGGTCAACGACGGAAGATCGATGGAGTGAGATTAAAATTTGGACAATTTGCTCGTTTGGCTGCGGACGTAGCAAGAAATGCGGTGGAATGGTTCAGAAAGTCAAACACTTGACATAATTGGTTTGTACGACGAAAGAACTCAGATATCTGGAGTTCCTCAAGGCCATCTGAAAGGACCGTACATGTAGGATCGATGGATTCTACCAACAAGATGGATATATTTTCAAAGGAAAGATGAACTGTAAATGTAAAAAGTACCAGTACATAATTTTTGAACAGAACATTTAACGCCCCATAGGGGCAACCATTACACCGACATAGGCCTTTTCTAGGAATCAACATGATAACATCAGGGTCCAACCATCGAGCAAAATGCTTGTGCTGTATTTCGATTTTTTTGAAATTTAACCGTTTTCCATGCGTAGTATCTATTGACCTATTTTGCATTTCTGTAAAGGATGCAGATGTGATTTTTAAATGGAGTTTTTGATCGAGAATATATAAAATTTTTAACCGGCAGGAATCGAATTTTTCGCACCTGCCTCCCGGTTAGGTCTATAAAATTGTATATAAACGTTCGGTCAAAAATTCCATCTACAAAAATCCCATCGACAAAAATCTCATCTACATTCAGTTTTATAGAACGAGATGCTCCAAATCTTGATATTTACCATTCCTGTAAAGGGCCTATCGATTGCTACCAATTGTTAGCTCTTCCCCAGTTGACGTTTGTAAAATCTCTAGGCATAGTAAAATATCAGCCTCTAGAGTCAGCGAGAAAAGGTTATACTAATACTCTCTTACACTAACCTTATTTAAAATACTACATATATAGCGCTTGGCAACCAAGCTTTCTGTTTAGTACACTTCAGGGGAGTATTCTATCTACCGTGAGCGGAGGGTCAAAACTGCATCTTGGTGCAAATTAATGCAGGTTGATTGTATAATCAAGATGGCGTTTGGCTATTTTAATACTGTTTTAATTTTTAAACAATAAAATCTTGAATCTATGCTTCATCCAACCCTCGATCCCAACCTGGGGTCCTCTTCCTAACCAAGACTTAACCCGGCGCATCATCTTTCACCCTGCAATTTAGACCCTCCGTACAATATTTCTGTATAGAGATTCATGTTAGTTTGTTAAAACGTTGTTAAGTTAGTATCTGATAGTTTGTTAAAATGCTGTTCAAATTTAGTTTCCGTCCTATTTATAATGAACAATGCTGTAGTGAAATTATTTGTAGCATGATTTAGGCATGGACTTCACCTATAATACATTGTGAAGAAAATGAAACATGTATATATAATTATATACTGCGTATAAATAAATAAATAAATATATATCATTCTGAGAAAACGCTTTCTAATTTATTCATAGTTTCTCGCAATGCGCGATTGATATTCACGGCTTTTGAAGTAGACTGGTCACAAGTCCGGCTCGGAAATTTTCCCTAGTGTCTTCATTGTTTAGTTTCCTTATCGGAGTAGGCCTACGTTCATAATCTTAGCTTTTAGCTGATGAGTAAATTGGGGTTTCAAGTTGCACCCTGATAATGGACCAGGGTCAGCTTTGGCGGTTTTGTGTTAATTGGAAACACGTGCTCGGGAAATCGGAAACTCGGACAAACATGGCGGAGCGTAATACAAATGCTATTCAAAATACACAAATGTTTCGGCCATTTAATAGATAGATTTGCTCGCTTTCGTCACGAAACAATAGTCAAAATGGAAAATATATCACGAGAAGAGAAATTCAAAGCCATGAAGCTGCTGGAGCTCAAAGCCTACTTACAAAATCGAGGAATTACTGTTAACAGTTACCTCAAACCAGAACTTGTAGCTATTGCTTGTGCCGTCGAAGAAATGAGTCTTCCATTGCTTTTTCAAGTCAGTGAAGCCCAAGACCAGTTAAATCTAAGCCGTCGTTTGAGAGTTCACGATATTCAGCTGCCTGATCCTTTTAAAATGAATGTTTTAAACGATTTTACGCATTGTTTCTCGCCCCTTTGGTTTGCTTTATATATTTAATCATATATAGTCATATATATTTTACATATCGGACGGAGATTAGGATTATTACTTATATACTCCGTACTAGTTATTGCTGATACAGGGTCTGGATGTTCTTCGGTAGGACTATTTTGTCGGCCAACAAAATGAAGGCTACATATATAACTATCCTTCGTACATACAAATTTATCGCCTCTACGTATCCATGCAGCGCGGCTCTCGTTTTGCGCTATGGTATGATTGGTATCTAGCCCCAGGAAAATGTAAAAAAAAATATCAGCTCCATTACTGTTTCGTTTTAATCGTTATATATGTAGCCTTCATTTTGTTGGCCGACAAAATGGTCCTACTGAAAAACATCAAGACCCTGTGTCAGCAATAACTAGTACGAAAAATATAAGTAATAATCCTAATCTCCGTCTAGGATATATAAAACGCACATTAAAATTAAATGCGTACGATATGTAAAATATATTTATAAGCTGCTAGACTTTGCTTGTCATATTCTGACGAGTGATATATGAGATGATTAAATATATCAAACAAACCAAAGGGGCCAGCATTTATCTTGGAAAACCAAAGGGGCCAGCATTTATCTTGACCAGCATTTATCTTGGAAAAGTAATACCGAAAATATTTGAAAAAAAGTTACAGCAGGAATCTCTGCTATTCGTTGGATCAAACCATTTGTTGATCAAGATACACTTATTTTGATATAATAACACTATTGTTCGTCCGTACTTTGACTACTGCCGGTGAAGTATGGGATGTATTTGGTGAAGCTCAATCAAAACGACTGCAAAAACTGCAACTGATAGAGCGGCAAGAATTATTCTGAATATAAGCAATGACGTAGATTATACGATTGCTTTACGTACTTTGGGCTGGGAGCCACTCCAAACTGAAAGGAAGAAAACTAAAGCAAGAATGATGTATAAGTTATTAAACAAAATGGGCCCAAAATCACTCACAAATCTATTTGAGTGAGAAAACTAATTACCACCTTCGGGATATCTCAAGTGGTCTTTATTTACCAAAACCACGTACAAATAGCATGAAAAATAGTTTTATGTACGACGGAGCAAACATTTGGGCATTTGGAATCATATATCAAAAGAAATTAGGGAAAGCAAGTCACTTTCTTCCTTTTGAAATAAAATCGCTGCTCACATTAGTGCTTGGTAACCTTTGTAAATATAATTTACCTGTAAATAACTCAAAACATTTGTTATATCTTTTAAATTTATATATTACTGTAAATAGCTTAGCTTATCATTATCATATTCTGCATGTAAAATAATTTCTGGCACACGCCCCCTGTGGAAATCAGTTACGGTTGACGGGGTCAGCGTGGATAAATAAAGTTCTATACTACTACTACTACTACGGCTTAGATTTAATTGGTCTTGGGCTTCATTGACTTGAAAAAGCAATGGAAGACTCGTTTCTTCGACGGCACAAGCAATAGCTACAAGTCCTGGTTTGAGGTAACTGTTAACAGTAATTCGTCGATTTTGTAAGTATGCTTTGAGCTCCGGCAGCTTCATGGCTTTGAATTTCTATTCTCGTGATATATTTTCCATTTTGACTATTGTTTCGTAACGAAAGCGAGCAAATTTATCTATTAAATGGCCGAAACATTTGTGTATTTTGAATAGCATTTGTATTACGCTCCGCCATGTTTGTCGGAGTTTCCGATTTCCCGAGCACGTGTTTCCAATCAACACAAAACCGCCAAAGTGGTCCATTGAAACTGGGCGCTAGGTTACCATTTACGTTTTCATTACCACTATTTTTTGCATTTTTATTATTTAGTTTCCTTATCCGAGCTCGAGTAGGCCTAATGTGATAATAGTCAGCTTAAGCAATCGATGTTTTTGTCACGGACGTCACCCAAAAATTGGTGTAACTAATTTTCGAAGCATTTTGCATCATAGTGCATGCCCATGTATGAAAGCAAAAAACTTTCAAAATCTTATGTTTTGTCAGATGTGTTGAACATTACCACAAACTGACACAAACACAATTTTTAATCCAGTGCCCCCTCGACAATCTGACGTCCATGTTCACAAAAATGTCACTTGCTCAATTCGCTAATTCTTATTACAAAACTGTATGTCTCTATCAAAATCAAATGCGCGATTACATGACAAAATTTTCAACTCAGCCCTATAGCTGTATTGAAATTTGAAAATTTTGTCATGTAATCGTTTCAACCCAGAGTTGAAATTATTCATGAGTTATTCGAGCATGCGTGGTAGTGACTATTTATTACAAGAAAACAAAATGGAGGCCATGAAGCCGCTTTGCTTTTTTTACTTCGGGGAATCAATGCCGGGAACGTATATATAGCATTTCAACCCCGGGGTTGAAATCGTTCATGTAATCGCAAAAATTTTCAACCTGGTTAACACGGCTGAGTTCAACCCTGGGGTTGAAAGTGCTCCATGTAATCGGCCCCGTAATGTCTGCATGTACTACTGTTTTCCAGAGCGCTTTTCTGATTACCTTGTCACCTCTTACTTGCATCTAACTTATGTTTGTCATGAAAGAATTCCCATAAGATTTTGGCATTGCTGGCATTTCCGAGAATTTCTTGAAGACGTTCTTGTGACGTGACAGTTAGTTTAATTCGCGAATATTTTTTACCCTGTTCATTACAGATCTAAAGTTGAAAAGAGTATTCATTGCGAAGTGACTTGTTCATTCAGCATTAGACTGACAATCGAACATTTCTCAATTTCCAAGAATTGTATCTTACAAAGACCCAAGAAGAAAACATCGAAAAACAGTTTATTTGTCCAAAAGATTGGTTGAATTTCTATTCCAAATTTCGAATTCGCACTCAGTCAAACTTTTCCAAACCTTACCCTAACCACAAACATTAACAATAACATTTTAAATTGTTAATTTGTACACCACAGTTATCGAGATGTCATTTCCGAACAATTTTAATTGTGATATTCAAGTTGTTACAAACATTCAATTCTATTGTGCAAAATGTTGACAGTAATGGTCACCCTGGACCAGAAGGGACACTCCTTTGATGCTAGGCGGTCGCGCCGGCAGAATAATATTTTGGGCTCACTTTTTTCGAATTTGCCTTGTAACCAAGCCTGATCACAAGCGGCCCAATCTCAGAATGAATGATCAGGTGTTGCGGGTTTTAACGGTTTTTATAAACAAATTTATAGTCAACCAAAACTATTTAAAAAACATTCTTAAATTAGTCAAATAAATACATTTTAACAATAAAATATAGTTGACATGATAGTATAATACCTTTGCATTCTTTTAATTACTCCATGAGCTCATTTAGAGCGGTTGATGTAACATTTTCTGTGGCCTACATTGTGTGTGCTCATCTATATATAATATAACAGTAAAAGGCTAATCACTGGCGCCACGACCGCATCGCCTTCAAAGTCAAATATCTCCGCTCAAACTTCTCGTACGCCAAAACAAATTCGATTACATCTTGTCACAAAGATTGACTTTGATCGTAGCTTGGGCAAATTTAGCGACGAACGGAACCAAAATCTCCTCAATTTCGGATACTGTTCAAAATACTTAGGGCTGCTCGGGCACGATCGTGGACGTGACGTAATCAATACATACTGACAATAACGCCTTACCTCCTTACGTGGGGTGGGACAGCATAAAGCGACAAACTATCGTCGAATTTGATATGCTGTCTCACCTCGGGTAAGGCGTTATTACCAGTATGTATTGATTACGTCACGTCCACGATCGTGCCCGAGCAGCCCTAAGTATTTTGAACCAGGGCGAAGGGAGAGAGGGCGTAGAAACGGCCATACATCGAGCGGACCCATCCGTGATGCGGGCTTCGCGGGGGGTAAGACGTTCTAATTGTAAACAAATATGGCTACGCGTATATGACCCATCAGAAGGTATGCTGAAACTATTGCTTTATAAAATATTACTTGTGTAAAATTTATATGTTTTTGTTACTTTCAGCTACTATAAGAAACTTAAAGATAAGATTTAAGTAACAAAAAACTTTATTTCGGGTGTTATTTTATTTCTATACTCTGTTTAATTTGGTGGTTAAAAATGGCCGTCGAAATGTTGTAAGAGAGTGTTAGCGCGCACTGCTTCCTGATAAAAAACCAATGATTTCCAAAACCTAAATTATAATTTGTTATTAAGTTATGATGAAAACCTTTGCGTATACAAAATTATAGAGTGAGCAAACATGAGACAGATAGGTTTTGAACCTTTCAAAGTTCGAGGTCGAATTGACAATTGAAATAGTACCAAACTCCAAGCTGAAATGTGGAACTAAATCGTGTATATTTTTGTCAATTTTGTTCACTGGCCTTTGTTAAATTCACTTGCAATGGCTCGACATAAGTTACAACATACAAACTGAGCAGAGCCCATGAAAGAGCTATCCATACCCATACAGTCATTCAGCTTCCTTGCTATTTAGAAATTGTTGCCCATTAGCTAGTTGAAGAATTGCTATTGTATGCGCTTGTTTGCACTTCCTTTCTTAAAAAAAGTCTACAATACTAAGGCTAAATAGCAGAAAAATATGACCCAATAATCCATGCAATTAAAAATATCTATCAAATTAACTTCAAAAATCATGATTTGAGGAATTATATCTATTTAGGCAATCAACCCATAATTTGGTGTACTACAAAACTATATTGACTGAAGTTTTGGAAAAATTTAGCCAACTTTTGAAGGATTTTATTAGGTCCAGTTCACATGAGACTGGAACGAAGTCAATTAACCGGGACCATTTCGTTTTGGTCATTATATTATGTCTAATAGATGTTTACATGAGGTCTCAAGTCATTCCGCCTGCTGGACCAAGCCGACTGACTCAGATCAGTATGAATTCAGACTGGAATGAATGTTGACATTGGAACAAGTGAACAACACATACTAACAAAAGTCATCTAAAAAAGAAAATTGTCTGACAAGGGGAATAAATTGAAAATTTTGTGATTTTCATACTGGTCTCATG